GAAGAAGAAGAAGAAGAAGAAGAAGAAGAAGAAGAAGAAGAAGAAGAAGAAGAAGAAGAAGAAGAAGAAGAAGAAGAAGAAGAAGAAGCAGCTCTAAGCTCAAAGAAGAAGAAAAGAGCAGTAAAGAAGAAGCGGAAAGTGTATGTATCTGAAGTTATGCAAATATTGGGTATCAGTTAAACTTTTTTTTTTAAAATGGGTACAAATTCAATGGATGACATAAAATTGGGCTCTATATGATAATTTTACGAATATTTTCATATATACCAACTTTTGTGGCCACCATTGAAGTTATACCCATATTGCACAAAATTTTACAAAGTGTACCCACTCGGATCTTAAGTAGTTCAATATCTTCAATTCACTTCAGAAATCAAATCTGAAATTCTTCTATCTTTCAAATACAACTTCAAAAATTCGAACCTGAAGTAGTTCAATCTCTTCAATATAAATTCAGAAATCAAATCTGAAGTTATTCTATCTTTGAAATGCAACTTCAGAAATTCGAATATTAAGTAGTTCAATCTATGCAACTTTAGATTTCGAATCTTAAGTTTTGAATCTTAAACTAATTCTTCTAATTTCAACAATCTAATACACGATTCAATGCACAAATCTACTCCAAATGAGCTCAAATTTGAAGCACAACTTTCAAATATCATAAAGAACAAATTTCAATCATCAAATTACCAAAACAACAATAAATTTAACAAACCTACTTTGCAACTAAGAAAAAGAAACTATAAGCACAAAGAAGAAGAAGAAAACTGATGGTGGGCTATAATTACGTATTTTAGTCGCTTATCGCACTTTAATTTACTGCACTTTAATTGAGTTTGAGCTTTAATCGCTAGTGTTTTGCACTAACTGCGTGTTTTATGCCTTGTAGGAGTTATTCCGAGCTATGTAGATGTTATGTAATGAATTCGAGCTATTTGGAGCTTTGAGACTGAGTAAAAGCAAAAAGGATTAAGCCGGGATCGCATTGGGGGATCGAGAACCACGTCTGAACTTAAAAAACGAAGCAAAAAGGTTCACTCTGAGAAAAGTCCACAGCCGCGGCGCGTGGCGTGCCGCGGCTGCCTATTTTTTCTGCTGACGCTCTCTGATAAAGTCCACTACTACCCCGCCTAGCGCGTCACCCCATGCAGCGCGCCTGTGCAATTTTTACAGAGTTATTATCTCAGTTCGTGCAGGAAAAGGTGTTTTCGTCTAGGCCCGACCCTACTTGGTACAAATACATGTAAAACGTTATTTTTGGTACTTTAACACACCTTAGACCTAAGGAGACTATTTTGGAAGGGAGAAGACGTTGGGAACATTCTTTGGAGGAGAAAATCATTAAATTCCTAATTCCTTCATCTNGCAAGACAACCTCGGGTAGTACCCAGGTGATGAGCAAAATATGAAGATACATAGGAATAGGTAGATCCGGGATCAAATAAGACAGAGGCATCTCTGTGGCAGACTGAGATAATACCTGTGATAACAGCATCTGAGGCAATGGCGTCCTTCCTGTCTGGAAGAGCATAGAATCGAGCCTGACCACCGCCAGTCCGGCCTCCACCCCTGGGGCGGCCCCTGGCTACCTGACCTCCACCCCTAGCTGACTGGGCGGGTGCTGATGAAACAGGAGCAGAAGATGAGGGTTGATCCCTCTGTTGAGACTGACTACCACGACGCCGAGGACACTGCCTCCTCATATGACCGGACTCACCGCACTCGTAGCAACTACCCGGCGCTGGAGAAGGGGACTGATGGAAACCCCTCGCTGCTGAAGAACCCTGGGCTGAAGAGGCAGGTGTAGAGCTCTGAGCTGGAAGGGCACTAAGTGAAGTCTGGCCCTGCTGAAATCCTTGATGACCACGGCCTGAAGAGGCCCCACTGTACTCTGGACGACCTGACTGAGGAGGCCTGAAGGAACGGCCTCTGCCACGCTGGAACTGACCCCTAGACGGAGCACCACTGAAATTACCTGAACCTCGAGGCCTCTTTGCCTCTCTCTCCTCACGCTCCCGACGGCGAACCGTCTCAATCTCTCGAGCCATGTCAACTACCTCCTCAAACGAGGCACCCATAACCCTCTCTCTGGTCATCAAAATGCGGAGTGAATAGTTGAGGCTATCCACGAACCTCCTAATCCTTTCCCGATCTGTCGGGATCATCCAAGTGGCATGCCGAGCTAGCTGCGTGAATGTCAACTCGTACTGGGTCACAGACATGTCCCCCTGAACCAACCACTCGAACTGACGACGCAGCTCCTCCCTGTGAGACTGCGGTACGTACTTCTCCAGAAAGAGAGTGGAGAACTGCTGCCATGTAAGGGGCGCTGCACCAACCGGCCTACGCCTCTCGAAGTCCTCCCACCAGGTGAATGCAGACCCTGAGAACTGGAAAGTAGTAAAAGCCACACCACTCGACTCTAAGATCCCTGCAGTGCGAAGCATACGCTGACACTTATCGAGATAACCTTGGGCATCCTCGCCCTCAGCACCGCTGAACCTCGGAGGCTGAAGCCTGCCGAATCTCTCAAGACGATGCTGCTCATCGTCCGGCATAGCTGGAACCTCATAGGCTGGAGCTGGTGCAACTGGAGCAACTGGTGCAACTGGTGCAACTGGAGCAACTGGAGGAGCTATGGCTGCTTCCGGTGTCTGAAATCCCTGGGCAACCTGCTCAGGTGTGTGAGCCACAGGGGTCTGATGTCCTCCCCCGGCCTGGGAAGCAGCTGCTGCAGTAGAAGCTGAGACCGCCTGAGCCAGGCCAGTACAAACTGATAGAATCTGTGCCAAGGTCTCCTGGAGACAAGGAATAGCAATAGGCACTGCTGGTGCCTGCACAGGTGCTGCTGGGACATCGACAGCTGGAGTCTGGTCCTGAACTGTGGCAGATGGTGGGTCAGCAGATTCTGTCTCTGCTGCCCTACCTCGACCACGACCACGACCGCGTCCACGGCCTCTAGTGGGTGGTACTGGTGGTCGACCATCGCGTCCGGTAGCACGAGTTCTCGCCATCTGCCAGAGAATAGAATACAGAGATTTAGTTCTCGAATCACAAAGCCGCACGACAAGAATTTCAAGAATATGGAGTTTTCCTAAAGGTTCTGCAGCCTCTCGAGGAGAAGTACAAGCGTCCCCGTACCGTTCTACGAGACTCTACTAAACCGGCTCATGACTCGCGAGGCCTAGTAACCTAGGCTCTGATACCAACTTGTCACGACCCCAATCCCGGTCGTGATGGCGCCCAACACTAATGCTAGGCAAGCCCGACCAATTTAAATACTCTCAACCCAAATACGCAATCCGTTAACAAATAATACGATTAAAATAGCAAATATCAAGGTTCCAATCCGAAACTAAATAAAATAGTATGGAAAATAATAACGAATATCCCAACATTCCCCAAAAGATCTGGGGTCACGAGTCTAGAGCCTCTAGATGTAACAGAGTAATATATCCATAGTAACAAAGAAGTCTAGGATATGGAAAGACAAATGAAATAAAGGGGAGGAGTCGGGTCCTGCGGACGTCAGGCAGCTACCTCAACAACTCCTGAAAATAACTTCACGAAAAATAGCAAACAACTCCCCTAAGTCTCCGGAGCACCTGAATCTGCACACATGGTGCAGGGAGTAAAGTGAGTACTTCCAACTCAGTGAGTAATAAACATATATAATGGCTGAAAGTAAGAAATTCTGAAATATTACAATATAAAGCTATAATCAGCGATTCAGCACATAAAACGATGAAACAACCGCAAACAAAGACAATTAAGACCAACAGATATAAAATGCATGAATGCAATGCAATGCACATGACCGCTGCGGCGCGCAGCCCGATCTATTTGGGTACCCGCGCTCACTGTGGGGGTTCAGACTCCGGAGGGGCTCCTACAGCCCAAGCGCAATATCATCGTAATATTCGCTGCGGCGTGCAGCCCGATCCACACTCAGTCCAGATATATATATGCATGCAAGCCACTCGGGCACAGTCAGATTATTCATTTTGGTCTCAATTATTAGGAATTATAGAGCTAAGTGTTTAAACCTTTATTTATTTATTAAACATTTCGAGTCAGTGTCTAATTCAGGACTGATATAATGAAATATGCTAAACATCATGGAAGCAGTGATAAGGATCCCTGAAGGATGCAAATGATAGGCATAAAGCCCCAAACATATTCATAAAATCCAAGTAGGATGATTACCAAACAATTTCTAGTCAAGAACAAGTACGAACATCAATCGAAACGGACTAGGTCAAAATTCCCAGTCACAATCGACCCCGCACTCGTCATAGAGTACGTGTCTCGCCTCAATATAGCATCACAATGTGATATACCGGGGTTTCAAACCCTCAGGTCATCATCTACATCTATTACTCACCTCAAGCCGGCCACAAGTCTAGCTCGCTATGCCTTTGCCTTTCGAATCAACCTCTTCGCACGCCGAATCTAATTAAAACCACAACAAATACATTACAATAGGCTAAAGAAACATAACCTAATCGAAAAGACTCGAAAAACACCAAAATTCACGAAGTTGGCAAAACCCGAGCCCCGGGCCTACTTCTCAAAAAATTACAAAATTTACATCACTGGATTACTCGTCTCGCCACGAGTCTACACATACCAATTTTACCAAAATCGGAGTTGAAATGCCCTTTCAAAATCTATTTTTACATCACAGCTTTTCAAGCCCTAACTTGACCCGTTTTTGATGAATTTTCCACAATTTACATGTAATTTCTACCATGAACTCGAATAATTAGGCCAAGAGACTTACCTCCAATTGATTCTCAGTCAAAACCCTCGAAAATCCTCGCCCAAAGCTCTCCAAGTCGCTTAAAAAATGGTGGAAACTACCTCTTGTTCGCGGATGAAATATAATATTTTAAACCCTTCTGTCAACAGCGATTTTCGCTTATGCGGTCCCGCTTCCGCTTATGCAGGACCGCTTCTGTGGCCAAAAATCTGCTTATGCGGTCTTCACTTAAAAACCCGGACTTCGCTTATGCGACTCGAACTCCGCTTCTGCGGTTCCCTCAAAACCACTTCTGCGGTACAATGTCCGCTTATGCGGACCCGCTGAAGCGACCAACTTCCGCTTATGTGGAACTACCCTAACCCACACTTGGCCGCTTCTGCGATCGCTCACCCGCTTTTGCGGAACCGCTTCTGCGGTCCATTTCCGCAGAAGCGGAAATACCAGATGACAGCAGCAACAGACCTGCAACACACCTCAAAACCTCTCGTTCAACCACCCGAATTCACCCCGAGGCCCCCGGGACCTCAACCAAAAATGCCAATACATCCTAAAACCTCATTCAAACTTGTTCTCATCCTTAAAACACATCAAACAACGCTAAAACCATCAAATCACATCGAATTCAAGCCTAAGTTTCTTAAAAACTTCCGAATTACGCATTCGATCAGAAACCCGACCAAAACACCTCCGAATAACCTGAAATTTTGCACACATATCCAAAATCACCTAACGGAGCTACTGCAACTGTCGGAATTTCATTCCGACCCTCGGATCAAAATCTCACCTATCCACCGGAATTCGCCAAAATGTCAACTTTGCCAATTCAAGCCTAATTCCACTCCGGACCTCCAAAATCACTTCCGATCGCACTCCTAAGTCACAAATCACCTCCCGAAGCTAACCGAATCACCGGAATTCACATCCGAGCCCTCTAACTAATAAGTCAACGTTCGGTTGACTTTTCCAACCCAAACCTTCCTTAAAGGGACTAAGTGTCTCATTTCCTATCCATACCAATTCAATTCAACTCTAACTCACCCGTTGCTGATAATAAAACATGAAAGAGCAATAAATGGGAGAAACAGGGCTGTAATACATGAGACGACGGGTTGGGTCGTCACACACCAATCTTTGACATGGACGAGATAATTAAATCAATAATTTATAATATGATTGCAGAAAAAAAAAAACCAAAGGAATTGGTGAGTGAGTAGATAAGAATCTTCGAATTTTCCTTAGTGTTTAGGCCTAAATTCAATGCCTTCAATGATTAGTCCACCCTTAACATGGCAACCCTTCACCTCCATCAAACTTACTGTAACTTCCTCCTCATCTCCACCATTGTTGAACTCTCCAATCTCAATTTCCATCCATCCATCTTCCCTTTTATATGGCAGTCTTTGATCCCTCTGTTTCTCTTCAAAATTTGTCATTCCCGTTGAGCCCAGCACACAATGTTGAACTTCTTTCCGATTGCCTATTTCTACACTAATCTCAGCAGCCACTGAATTCAGACCAAATGCCTGATGAGAGATTTTCATGATGAAATAAACTCCATACTTTGCGTTTGGAGATAGTATGTTTGTTTTTAGGCTTGCTTTAATTTCTAGCCTGCATATTACTTTCAGTTCAGCCACTTTTGAAAACCTTGAATCTGGTACGGATTTCCAAGTCCAATGATCTGGTTCTTCCCCATATAAAATGGAAAGTTCTTTTGCTGAGATTATATATGATTTTTTTCCACTTGATTTCTCTAATGCAAAGCTCTGCAATTAGATCATAGAACCAATTTTAAAATCAACTATCAAACTGAAGCTTTAAAAAAATGATGAGGCTATAGCATTTGTATACAACTATACATACCTTGTTACCACCATCAATAAGAATGGAGTTACAGAGACGAACAAAGAGCTCTTTTTTAGAAGAATACTTCAATGGTGTGACGGATTTGTCAATAATATGCTTGTAATCGGAAGGCAAGAATGTTTGCCAGAGAAAATCAGATGCTGCAACTGAACGGAGAGAGGAAGAAACAAGAGAGAAGCTAAATGTATCCTTAGGTGAAGTAAGAGACAGAATTGAAGAAATGATATCTTCCGGCAATTGATTGAATAGCTCTGCCCCAGACATTACCTTTTTTCAATGTACTGCTTACTTTTTTTGTTGGTTTCAGCTGCTCTTTTTTTGTTGAAATACGAGTGTTACTTTGTTGGAAATGTTGGGTTTGGTTGTTGCATATATAGTGGAGTTGTCTTTAACTTTAAGGTCTAAAAATACGCAACTTTGAATTGTTCGAATTAAACGAAGCTTCCTGGTTGAGTTGGTGTCCTAAAGTGATACTACGGACAAGGAACCATTTGTTGGATATTTTGGATAATGTCTTAAATTTGTGGTGGAATGTATGCTATGAATCGATAGGAAAATGTTATTGGCGCAATTGAAATTTGAGACTTTAGTGAAATGCACACTGACTTCTATTTTCTGTATATTTGGGACGGTAAATTTGTGAGTAATTGGGGACTGAAACGGCTTACCCATTAAACGAAGGTACTTAAGTACTCCTTCCGTTCACTTTTACTTGGCACGTTTTGATTTTTCACGCCCCTTAAGAAATAATAAATAAAGTGCATAATTTATCATGATACCCATATTAATTGATGCATATTTTACTGGATTTGAGAAAATAATTTAAAATGAGTAATAAATATTGTGGGTATAACAGGAAAAAAATTATCTTCTCTTGGAATGCGTAAAGTGACAAGTAAAAATGAAAATCTATTTTTAGTATACATACCAAGTAAAAGTGAACGGAGTGAGTAATATCGTTGGTAAATGAATGTTAAGGAGGACAGTAATTATATAGTTGGTCAAAAATTTTAGAACTTTCTTTCGAATTATGGAGACATATTAAAAGTAATTAACCAAAGAAATTTTGGCAAAAAGAGAAGGCGGAAAAGGGAAAATTCCGTGAAAAGTAATTAAACGTGTGAATATTGTTGGTTTATGGTGTCTAAGTTCCCATAATCTTAGTTGTCAGTCAAATTTAATTGCTTCCTTGATATTTCGTTATTTTTATTTGACTCGTCGAAGACCTATACAATAACATTTGAATGGATAAAATTTGAGCACATGTATTTTTAATTTCGAATAGTATCCAAACAATGGGCTGTCAAGATAATGCTTGAAGGATTTGATGGCTTTTGAATGGTTTGAATTTTGACTGATGCTTGTATTGCTGTAATTTTGAAAGAAATTTCCCCTTTCTTTACATTATTACGAGCTTAACTTTTAAACATTGACTTGTGTAAAAAAAATTACAGTATTGGATCATGCTAGAGATAATTACACGGAATTATTAGTAATAAGCAGAATTTAACCTTAAACAATGAGGCATGTGATATTGTACACCGTGTCAAAACATATTGATAACTAAAAATTTCAACACTGTTATGCGGCGCCTTCCTGAGATTCCTTAGAAAGGTGACATAAGGCTAAGCAACTGATGTCAGTGCAGTTACTATTCGCCAACTGAGGTCCCCTCCGTACACTAGGTGTTAGTGCCGTACGAGAAAATCAATGTCAAGAGCAATTGAGAAAACAGAATTAAGAATTTGAGAATGAAAGCTTGATTGTATTAATGAAACTATTACCAAAAGGCTACGCGGTGTCGAGGAGGATATTTGTGCATATTGCGGGGAAAAAAAAAGATAAGCAAAAGAAGTACTGTATGTGGGCTTAGGAGAGTTTTACTGAAAATGTTTATTATCTTATGAAGGAGTTTTTGAATAATTTTCCGGAGTTACGTGAAAAACAAAATTGTTTTTGAAGATAGAGTTGTACTTTTAGACCAAGTTAGAAGGGTTGTTTAATAAAGAGCAAGAATCAATCTTAATGGAAAAACCACCCAAATCACCCAACATACTATCGGAACCACCGGACGACACTGTCATGGAAGAAGAAGCTAACCAACAACACTCCTACAAGGAAATGCTGCTGGACAAACAAAGCACTACACAAGCGGATTATTTCACTACAGAAACTCAATCCACTTTAACACAAGAAAAAGGCAAGGAAGCAATAGGACCTATAGTACTCTCACAAGAGGACAAAAACAGGCTCTATGAACCAGGGTGCTACTCAGTTATCATAAAGCTATTCGGCAAGAAAATGCCACACTACCTTCTCCGATCTAAACTAGTTGACCTATGGAACCCATCCGAACAGTTAATCTTGATTGACCTAGGATGGGATTTTTTCATAGTCAAATTTAGTAAAGAGGAGAATCTAGTGAAAGCTATACAAAAAGGGCCTTGGTTCATATCAGGGAATTTCCTCTCAGTAAGAAGATGGGAACCCAAATTCGTCCCACAGGAAGCAACCTTATCTTTCACTGCAATCTGGGTAAGACTACCACAACTACCAACAGAGTTCTATGATAAGGAAGTCCTCGAAAAGGTGGGCAGGAAATTAGGAAAGCTTCTAAAAATTGATACATGCACCTCAGCCACTCTCAGAGGAAGATATGCAAGGATATGCATTCAGGTACCCTTGGAAACACCAGTTGCTACCTCAGTCACAATAGGGGATCATAAACAGTTGGTGCTCTATGAAGGAGAAAACGTTCTATGCACTGGCTGTGGGAGGATAGAGCACATCTTGAAAGGATGCCTACACAGACAAAGACAACAACAATCACAAAATTCAGACAGCCCAGAAATGCTCAAATACTAAGCAAAATGGTATTTTAGACCATACACTAAACAAGGAGGAAGAAGAAGAATGGAAGGTGGTTTCCTTTCCCAGAAGGCGAAAGAAAGAACTCAATACAAAGCAAAAGGAAGCACAGGACATTTTTACAAAGGATAATCCATCATCAAAATCGGAGGGCATCAAAGTGAAGATGTTCGATGCTACATCAGGTAAGTTTCTCGAAACCCAAACTTTCCGTTACACCAATAAATCTAACATACTACAGGAAACGGACCGGATCAAACCCACTTCCACAAAGGGATCACAGCCCAGATAACAAAATAAAACTGGGCAGCCCACAAGAGAACGGCCCAACATAAGTGTTAAACGGAAGGCGGACCCAGGGAACGCCCACATGCACACAAATTGTCAATCTGGGCCCAGGTCTCAAACGACAACAAAGACGGACCCCATAACCACTACCCCAAACCAAATGGACACTACCCCACAACCAAAGTCAACACAGCCCAAATACCAAGAGAAAAGCCAAAAATGCCAGTCTGGGCCACCACACACATCGGGGGAAATGGAACCCATGGTAGACCACAATGATAACCACTACAACACTACTTCTCCCCTACCAACACCAACTAGAGAAAAACCCTCCATGAAAGACCAAGAGCCAACGCAGTATAATCAAGAAATCTCCAGTGATTTGACAGAACCAATCAACTCAACCGGATATCAATTAACCACATCCCTAGTGCATCAGACACAANCCACCACCACCGGACCATCTACCAGCCTCTTGGCTGGAACTGGCACTCCATGGATAAGCCCTCAGCTACGATTTTCAACTGGGCGAGCAACAGATCTCCCTAATCATCCAGAACCCAGCCCATCTGGCAAGGGTAACAACAGAAGCACTAAACAATGGCTTGGGGATGCTTGGAGCTCAAATGTGGCAGTCAGTCATGGAGCAGACCCATCCAGCCAACTTGAACACCAGCAGAGATTTGCCTATTCGAGATCGGATTCATCAGATCTTCAACAGTATCCCTTTTCTTCCAGAACTCACAGTAGAGGATCCATATGCAACATCTCAGTTCAAAATATTCCAGCCGGAATCAACCCAGAAAACTTTACCTTCACAGCAGGAGAAGCATCCACAACCACAATAACAACCACCTCCATCGCCGCTGGGGAACATCGCCAAAGGAATCTCAATAGCACTGGAGATACTGAGGAACAACGACACATCAATGGACCAAGGAGCAATACCAATCGACAATATAGTCAGAGTGGACTCACTGTGTCTAGAAACAGCAAGGGCGGTGGAGTTCAGCGTGGACCACAGCGAAACACTGATCCTACTGTGCCCAAAGAATCTAGCTCGCTGCGGAATGGACCTATCATCTCACATTAGCCAAGGTACCCTTCAAACCCCTTCTAACCTTAACCCTAGTGATGAGATCCCAACAGTCTCAGCACACGGGGGAGAGATGTGATGCAACCCCAGGGCAGGGAGAAACATCATCGAGCACCAGCCCTCCAACACTGAACCCTCTAATGAATTTCATCATATGGAATGTTAGAGGGGCAAACAGTGCGGAGTTTAAGAGGCACTGCTCTGAAATGGTCAAGCTCCACAAGCCTATGATGTTGGTTCTCCTGGAGACCAAAATGGCAGACCACAAAAAGCTTACTGAGGAGCTTCAATTTGATATGCACATCCAGTTCCCTGCCATTGGCCATTCTAGAGGCATAGTGATCATGTGGAGGGAAAATTCCCTCCAAATTGATGAGGTAGCTGTCAACTCTCAGGGTATCCATGCCATGGTAAAGGTATTACCCTCAAACCCACCCTACTTCTTTTCTGCTATTTATGCCAGTAACCACCTTGAAGATAGAAGAGGCCTCTGGGATAGTCTTGTTAACATCTCAAAAGCTCATAAAGTGAGTTGGTTTGTGGGTGGGGACTTCAATGAAGTCCTTAAAGCAGAAGAAAAATTTGGGGGCAACCCCATAAATACCCACAGAAGCAACTCCTTCTGGAATTGCATTAATAACTGTCACCTGATAGACCTATGGTTTAAAGGTAGCAAGTACACTTGGTCCAACAAAAGGTATAAAAACAGAACCTATCTAATATTGGAAAGAATTGACAGATGTTTGGCTAATAACCACTGGTTAAAAGAATACCCTGAAGCAAACATCACCCACCTCCCTAGGACCCAGTCTGATCACTGCCCTATGCTTGTCAATCTAAGCAGTGCCAAGCCTAGTCCCACCAATAAACCTTTCAGGTTTGAATCAATATGGTGCAGCCACCCCATGTTCCAAAACCTAGTTAAGGACTCTTTCAAGCCTGACTCTACTCTAATCCCTTCTACCTCTCTGTTTAAGGTTAATGCTCTCAATTGGAATAGGCATACCTTTGGAAACATCTTCCATAAGAAAAAGAGGCTACTAGCAAGGATAACAGGAATCTAAAAATCTTTCCACTATCCCACAAGTACCACTCTACAAACCCTCGAGAACAATCTCATTGAGGAGCTTAACTCAATCTTAAAAAATGAAGAAGATTTTTGGAAGATGAAGTCTGAATCCAGCGGCTCTCTGATGGAGATGCCAACACCAAATTCTTCCATACCTCCACCTTAAATAGAAGAAGGAGGAACAAAATCCTTTCCCTCCAAAATGACACTGGTCAGTGGATGTTTGAGGAAGGGGAGATCAAACAGGCAATTTCAAAGTTCTTCACAGAACTCTACACCTCCCCCCTCTCATACTCTCAAAATGACCTATCCCCACTGAAATCCAAGGGCTACGTCTTTCTCAGATTCAGCAAACAACAATTGGAATGCCTCTAAGGAATAGTGAAATCAAGAATGCCATCTTCTCCTTCAAGCCTTTCAAATCCCCTGGGCCAGATGGCCTTCACCCCTTCTTTTAACAAAATTCTAGGGACATAGTGGGCAAGGATGTCACCCTCTACTGCAAAAAATACTTCTCCACGTCAACTATGGATCCAGTCATGAATGAAACCCTTCTATGCCTCATCCCAAAATGCCCTCAAGCCACAATGATCAAGAACTTCAGACCCATAGGCTTATGCAACACTGTCTACAAGACAGTAACAAATATCATTGTCAATAGGATCAAGCCTTTTCTCCCCCACATCATTGGGCCTAGTCAGGCAAGCTTCCTATCCAACAGGAAAGCTTCTAATAATGCCATCATAGTCCAAGAATACATCTCCCACTTTGGTAAAATAAAGGGAAAAGCCAGTAACATGATCCTAAAGATTAACCTGGAGAAGGCTTTTGACAGACTTGAGTGGTCTTTCATTAAGCAAACCCTCCATGGCTTCAAATTCTCAAACACAATCATCAATCTCATCATGTCATGTGTCAGCTCATCCACTATCTCAGTAATTGTCAATGGAGAGCAAACCACCCCCTTCATGCCCACTAAGGGCATTAGGCAGGGTGACCCACTCTCCCCATATCTGTTTATCATGTGCATGGAAAGGCTTTCAAGAGCCATTGACAGCAATGTCACTCAAGGGGAATGGCACCCAATCAGCATTAGCATAAATGGCCCAAAAATATCACATCTCTTCTTTGCTGTTGACTTAACTCTCTTTGCAAAAGCAAATCTTCCAAGTTGCAACACAATCATGAATACCTAAATTCTCTCAATCTAGCATCAGGGCAAAAAATCAATCTCAATAAATCCAAAGTTTGTTTTAGTAATAACTGCCAACCTCACCAAATGGAACTCATTTCAAACTCTCTCTCCATAAAAGCATCAACAAACTTTGGAAAGTACCCGGGATTCCCAATTTTCCATAAAAGACCCACTCATAGTGATCTCCAATTCATTATTGACAATCTTCACTCAAAAATGGCAGGGTGGAAAACAAGCATGCTTAATATGACTGGAAGGACCACTCTGGCAAAAGCATCCCTAAACTCAATTCCGAACCATGTCATGCAGTACATCAAACTGCCAGCAAAAACAAGCAAAGAAATTGATAAAGTTTAGAGGAACTTCATTTGGGGCACCACTACTACTAAATAGAAAATGCATCTGATATCTTGGGACACAGTTACAAAGCCCAAGGATAAGGGGGTCTGGGAATTCAGAAAGCTGAATTAAAGAATAAAGCCCAGCACTCATGCCTTGCTTGGAGACTATACCAAAACCCAACATCCCTTTGGGCAAAAACTCTTATTGCAAAACACTGCAATTGGAGGAACCCTCCCAAAAAGGCAAAGTCCCACACATGGCAATGCATACTGAAAGGATGGGAAACATGCATGCAAGCAAAAAGGTGGGTAGTTCACTCAGGAAACAGAGTGAATTTTTTTAACGACCCTTGGATAAATAACCTCCCTGCCATAAGGTCACTAATTCAAGGTCCTTTGACAAGAGAAGATATGTCCAAAACAGTTGCTAATGTCCATCACCATGGAGTGTGGGACCTCTCTACTCTCTCCATTACCAATCCCCCAAAATATCCAAAATTCCATCCACAATACTTTCATCCCACCAAATCCACTCAATGAGGATAAAATGATATGGGGAGCAACACCAAATGGTCTATACTCCACAAAATCAGCCTATTCAATTCTAGATCAAGGTCAGGAAACAATGACTCACAATTTCACTTGGATATGGAAGCTAAAAGTGCCAAAAAACATACAATCCTTTTTCTGGTTACTTTTCCATGAAAGGCTCCCCACTGGAGTCTACCTCCATCATGTGGGGGTACAACCAAATCCTAGTTGCCACCAATGCAGCCAGGCAAATGAAACCTCAGCACATATCTTCTTTGAATGTCCCATTGCACAAACCTTCTGGCAAGACATCATATCCAAAAGCAATAAGGAAATCATTACTCCTATCCATGCTTTCAACACCACAGATTGGCCAACCACTTGGGCAACCCTAAAGAAAAAAGCATACAACAACATCATTACTTGGGAAGAGCTCCTACCTTTTTGTTTCTGGCAAATTTGGCTAACAAGGAATAATAATCTCTTCAATAACAAAAAAGATAGGATAGACTCAAAAGGTGCAATAGCAAATGCTACTGAATATGCCACAATGATGCTGGATAAAGAGCCAAAAAACATGGGAAAAATCTGGGTAAAATGGGAGCCACCAAAAAACAACGTCTTCAAAATAAATACTGATGGAGCTGCAACAGGGAATCGGGGTAAGGGAGGTCTGGGGGGAGTATTCAGAAATGCAAGTGAAAACTGGATATTGGGCTTCATGGGATCAATCCAATACACCACCAACACCCAAACATAACTACTAGCTCTTCTTAAAGGACTATAAATTGCAGAAGAAAGACAGTTCACACCTTTGAAAATAAACACTGACTCAACGGAGGTAATTAGAATGCTAACTAATGAAAACCTCTATTTTGACTCTATCATTCATGAATGCAGGTCAATCATCCAAAGGCTAGGCAACGTGGTGGTGAAGCACAGCTACAGGGAGACCAATAAAGTTGCTGACATGCTGGCAAAGGAAGGAACAAGGGAAATTTTTTTTGAAGATATTTTTGTAACATTAGTTCCTCCGGTGTTTGTCAAACATGTGTTTTGGGCAGACATCGCAGGAACTTTGTTTGAAAGGAAAACAATGGTTTGTAATAGTGATAGTAACAGTATGCTAGAGGGCGGTATCACATACCCACCCACAAACAATATTTTTGTACGCCCTAACGGGTAGTTTGGTGTTAATTAAATATGCATCCGTTTTAACCAAAAAAAAAAGAATAAAATAATACGAAAGGAACATTCTCTTATATCATCAACGTATGCGTTTTTGGTCAATATTATCCCTTATCTTTGAGGTTAGGTCTATTTTGGTCCCTCAAATATAACTCTGAGCATATTTAGTCCCTTAAGTATGTTGAAGTGGAGCACCTTTAGTCTCACCGACACAATGTGTTCAAAAACTAACGGTGTTACCCAACTCTGATTCATGAAGAAAATCTTCTGCTCTGAAGCAAAACGTTTCCTCTACTTTTATTGGATAACGCAAATTATCACTTTAATTCCTTATTTTTAGATAATGTCTTCTAAAATTTTGACCTTGAAAATATTTCATTTTATGCCAGTTTTCAATGAGAAAATAATACTGTATAGCTGCTGCAAAATTGATAGCCGAAAAAATACATACAATTTGTATATTTTTTTAGTATATATATATATTTTGCATGTTAAAATTTTATATACTTTTTCGGCTATCATATGTAAAAAGTTTCTGGCACATGCTAAAAGTGACAATATAAACTGGCTATATCCGTGCAATAACTTTTGCAACATATCAATGTTAAAGGACATTCCACAACCTCTATTTTGTCTCGTGTTTTTTTCCCTCCTTTTCCTGCTATTCGAGCCTTTGACCAGAGTGCTGACTGCCTGCTGGAACATGAACCATGTTTTGTTTCGCTTTTTCCAAACCTTATCCGCCTTAGTAGGTAAATTCACGTGCCCTGTACGTCTATTGATTCAAACTTCAAAGTACTCACCATTTTCTTTTGACTGTCAATTGTAAAATTGATTACTACTACTAATAAGAGCCAATTCAGTTCCATAAGAAATTCCTTTTCTCTTCTTATAGCTAGGCTGGTGCTTAATTATCAGTCAATTACTTCAACAAACCATCTAAAGAAAAATCTGAAACCATGCACTATATATAAACATGCAGGGGAAAGAGGGAATTCAGACATCAGAAATCACCATTTTAATTAACATCAGGAGAGCAAATGGCAGGCCTAGTACAAAATATCACATCAAGTAGTGAGACGATAGCCATTGCAGTGATTGTAGCATTTCCTTTAATGTCCATACTAAATGCATATGCAGGTGGAATCAAGCCAGTGTGGTCGCTTGTGTTTGCCTTTTGCAGCTCTAAATATAGCAAGGCAAGAAAACAAGAAGGCAAATGTGAGGAGTACTCAGTACTCTGTGTGATTTGTCTTAGTGACATATCTTTGGGTGAGTCAAGGCGATTTCTTCCCATGTGTGGACATGGATTTCATACTCAATGCATTGAGCCTTGGCTAAAGATGAATTCCATTTGTCCTCTTTGCAGAAATCCTGTGCCTAGTACCATTTCTGTGTGCTGTACCAGCAATCGCTTCGTTTCGTCTTTGATATCTGCTCTGGATAACTTCTGGACTTGGTTTCTAGATCCGCTTAGCTCTGGGGTCATAGCTTCTCTTTCCAATGAGGAATGCGATTTTCTTTGAGACAAAGTTCTGAACCAAGAAGAGGATCAACCCAAATTAACCAAATAGAAATACGACAGCAGATACTAGAGAATTAATTACTTGCTTTCCCAGTAGTTCTAATTTTCTTTATCAGGAAGAGCTGTGTATATACAACTTTTCCTCTGAATTTGCGATTTGCTGCTATACAAATAGACATTCTACTTTCTTATGAAGGCTCATTATGTACAGAGGG